AAGCCTCAATCTTGTGCAACATTGACTTATTTTTGGCAAAACATTGTGGGTTCCGCGCCTACCAAGCGCTGGTTCCTCCCATGATCGGCCGCACCCCGTAAGGGACTACCTTGCTGGTTGTACTGAAAGGTCTCGCCTCAAGCATTGAATACGTGACGCACTCGACGCTTGCGCGAAGTCTTGGGTGCGCAGCGAGGGTTTCCAAGGGGTCCGTGGAACCTAGGAACGATGAGCTTGCTGACCTCGGCGCGCCTGATCTTCTCCGCGCGGTCGTCGCTGAAGGCGAAGCTTCTCGAGTCCTAGGGTCGCATGAGCAGATGGGTCCTGAGCTGGAGCTGGGCTGTCGTGCCCAGCAGTGGAAGACGAAGCTCCTCGGCCTAGCGAGGACGGGCGACGCGTATATGGCGTGCGCGAGGAGAATCGTCCCAAATATCCACTGAAGCCGATACGATGGATCCTCGTGGCGATTCCACCCGGCTCCATGAAAGGGATGAGATTTCCGTCAGCGTCGTACGCTTGCCGACTAATGTACTGCTCGTGACGCGACCTGAATGGACGCGCCAATCTCATGTCTCGATCCGCCTTTCGTGGACCCGTCTCAAGCACGAAAGTCTTCATATCTGGGTGTAAGTGCATTGCGTGGCGTCTCACTCCGCTTTCAAGCGCTACCAGCTGCGAATGGGACATCTTCAGATCGTCTCCTTCTAGCTTGGAATAGTCCACGCGTATTCTGTGGGACGAAGGTACGTTGGGAGGCAGAATCTGCTCTGCTGGCTTCATTTTGACGTCATCAATGGCGTGAAACGCGTCGGAAAGCGCTTTGTCGCCCAGCCCACGCTTCAACGCGCTGACCGCGCCATATGGAGGGCTTGTTGCGGATTTAGAAGCTCCCGCGATATCCAGCAGAGCCAAGGCAATCGCTAACTTTACTGCGAGCTGGTGCATCGTAGTTTCGAACTTTGGGACAAGTGAGCACCTGTGCAAGGGATGAGATCTGTCCCGAAGAGCGCTTAGTATGAGCACGCTTGGTCAGGTACTATGAGCACGCTTGATCCGCGACGAAAAGATTCAATGACAGAGAAAGATGAAGATGGAGTGAAAGGGGGAGCGGCACAGGCTACCCACTCTTACTATGAGCGCCAGGACGAGTCCTCCTTGTCGTGCTTTGCGCTGATAAGGTGATCTCGAGCTGCAGCGGCGCCAACGCCGAGTGGCAAACACGACGTCCACAACCTCTCGAGAAAGCTTGCCGGTACTTTGAAGCGCGTGCGGTTGCCATCCATTCAAGCGCCAACGGAGGCCGTTCTTTTTGCCGTCAATTGTTTCGCTTGCGAAACGGCCCATAGTAAGCTGGCCAGTAGAAACGGAAGTTAGAATGCTTTGAATATCGAGCTACTCGCGGTGGGTAGCGCGATCGAGACTCATTCATTATGGGACATTTCCGGCCGCAATGTCTTGGGGCTACAGAAGCAAAGTTGCCTCGCTTAATGAGTGTAAAAGCCGATCGGAAATGCAACATTTGAGGCTTAGTAGCCTCGCGATTTGGGAGCGCCTGCTTGAGTACAACTGAAGGCTCAAACGAATTCAATACAAGGATCTGCAAGAAGACCTTAAACCGAGGGCGCAGCAGCGAAAAGTACAGGGGGTTTGTTCACTCAAGTTAACGTCACGGTGGCGTGCCCCCGTGGAGTGCGCCACTCTTGGCGTACGTAGCAGGGCCTAAACTCGCGCCTATCCTGCAGGTACAAAGGATCATCGAGAGAATGGTCAGCTGTGTGCACAACCCTTACATCATAGAAGCTCGCCCGACAAAACTTCACATCGTCCGCATCGCAAGCAGAAATATTCACGTGCCCTGCGACTCAACAGTCAAGGTCACATTGACAACGTTTAAAGCAGTTCCCATTCATCTGATCATGCAACTTTTCGCATTCACAATGGTGCTGGTCGCCGTTGCGGATGGACAAGAGAGAGGGACGACGGCTTGGCAGCTAGCTGCGCGTGCACCTGTGCTACCTCCATCATCGCTTCGCTCTACTACCTCTGACGTCTTGAGAGATGCGCAGCAAGCCCATGCGCACATCTCGCAGCTACCAAATATCAGAGCCAATGACTCGTCACCAGACACGAATGCCGCCAGTGCGCCTCTTTGGGTCCACGGTCCCGCATCCACCCATGTCACCAATCACGTTGGTCCATCCGCCGAGCACTTGCCGCTTTCGCCTCTGCGCGCCTCGACACATGCAACTCACGAAGCTGACAGCTCTAGCACTTCTCTTGCACCGCACGAGCCACACCTTGGTACCGATGAAGAGAGTTGGTGGCACAACATCGACTTGGACGAGATGCATGATCTCCTGCGAACGCCGTCGCCAGCTCATGGCACGCATGCGCACGAACAGGATGCAGTGGATGATGACTGGATCAACTCTTTGCTGCGCACTCCTGATGGTACGCCTCCACGTAGTCCGCTGCATCCCAGCTCCGGCGCGTCCGTTGGTGGGTCTCCGACAGCGGTGCAGCCAGACGCTGCTGGGAGCAACGAGCAGGAAGCGGCGTCACCTTTGCTGCATTCGGTCGCTTCCGATTCAAGCACTCTGCCAAATATGAAAAGCACCCAAAAGCAAACGGGAAATGTCGAAGCATCGCCGGGAGAGGAGACACAGCGCAAGAGGAACACGTCCGAGCCAAAGAGGCACGTGGATGGGACGAGTAGAAGCATCAACGGTGCGCAGAGGACAGGCTCCGATGCTCGACCCCTAAGGCCGTCGAAAGCGCAGATGCAGATCCTACTCTCCGCGAAGCGCTGGAAGGGAACAGCGGAAGAATTTGGTCCGCACCTTCCAAACGACATTCGACAGATTTACAGGCTCAAAGATTGGGCAACGACAATCGGCACGCGCACCGACACCTTTCAGGCGGCCATCGATGCCCGTGCTCGCACGGCCGGTCTTGCAAAGGCACCTGATACGTACGCGGAATGGCTTGCGCGACCAATGCAGACGTTCAACAAGGTCAATCAACTGCGCTCGGGTGTCACTGCTCTTTTCAGAGAGCGGGACGAGGCGATGCGCAACAACAGGGACACCTCTGACGTCGATGCTCGCATTGCCGAGATGGCGGCCCAGCACGGCGTAAGACATCCCGTGTCGAGGCAACACTTCAACGGCATGATTGCCAGACAGAGAAAACGCGCAAAGCGAGCGGCGGCGGCAACGGCAACGGCAGCGGCAGCGGCGACCGAAGACCCTCAGCGGAGCTCATGACTCGAACGCCGGCAAGGACTCATGACGATGCTCCATTGCTGACGTCGGTCCGTCGAAGTGAGGGGCGGTGAGTGCGGTTTGCCAGTCAAAGAAGAGGGCAGCGATGCAGCTGCACGGAATGTGCAGGCATTCGGCCTCGGCCTGTTGATGGCAGCACTTCTCTCACTGACGCGGCGCGCTGAAGCTCAGCTCACTCTTCTACTCTGCATGGGACGTCGCCCAAGGCTAGAGATGCAGCACATTCAAATATTACGATTGTGATTCAAATCAAGTCCACGATGCTTGATTCAAGATTCAGATTCACGATTAACGATTACCTTATCGTGTTCCATTTGTCCTTAATTGACATGATTCCGCGGATCCCATGCACACCGCGCGCCATGCACATCTTTGCAAAAGTGGTGCGGTACCGCAGCTCTGCCGGCGTGCCGTGCATGCATGCAAGCCACACCAAGCCACCGCATCTGTCAACAAAGGCCGAGGGATCGACACTTGACTTGTCGCGGCCAGCAGCTGATGCGGTGCACCGTGACTCTCACAACTCTGACTGTGGGTCCGCGCGCACAAGCAGCCATCTGTGATTTTGCATGCCAAGCAAAGGCGCTTTGGTTGCCCTGCCCTGCCATCCTCATCGGTCAGGTCGGCCACCGAGCACCACGGGACGTTTGTGGGTACACGCGGGAGTGCGAGTGCGAGTGCGAGTGCCAGTGCGAGGGGAAAGGCGGACATCGAAAGGAGGGGGCGTGCGTGCGTGCGTGCGTGCGTGCGTGCGTGCGTACAAGCAAGCTGCGGGTAGAGCAAGGCAAGGCACTGCAAACAGAAAAGCGTCACAGACGACAGTCAGGCGATGCTGATGAGCAGGCACACTTCAAATGAACAGCATGGCACGCCATGCCCACGACTGTGATGCAATGGTCATCACCGGTTTACAATGCCCGGCAAAGTGTCACCAACGCAACCAACTCCTCCTTCACCGCCACCGCCACCGCCACCACCACCACCAACAAGCCGCGCTCCTTCCGTCAAGGTTGCCTCCCATCATGCGCGACCGCACCACGCTCTTTGCTGCTCTCGCTGCTGTCGCCGCCTTGTCAACTCGCAGCTCCTTTGCCCTCGCCACAGAGCAGCCCGGTGACGTTGCCCTCTCCTCTTGGACGTGCCCGGAGCGCATGCCATCCACGCCCAACCTCGTGCTCAACCCAAGCTTCGAGACGGTCGATCCGAGAAGCGCGTTGGAGAACAAGTACTTTACAGAAGCAGCGCAGTGGACACCCAGTTTTCTGAGCGTCAATGAGAATCGCGTGGGTCCTGGTGCAGACGATACTCGCGATGGGGAGAGCGCGTACGATGGAGAGTACTTTGAGCGTTTCGGTACAAATGAGATCATCTCCTACACTTCCGAAGGCGCTTACACCCTGCTGCCCGGCAAAAAGTACATTCTCAGCTTCTTTGTCCGCGGCACCGGCGGACGCGACGGCGTCTCCTTTGGCCCTGGCATGCTGCTGGATGCTCGCATCGATGGTGTCAGTCTCAGCAGCCCCGTCACCAGCTTCCCGCGCGGCCAACTATGGACGCAGCACTGCGTGCCTGGCTTCATACAAGGCTCTGTCGCTCCCAAAACGCTCTCCTTTAGGTTTCAGGACCAGCCGGGGAACATGTGAGTGGCGTAAGCGCTTGGAGCGCAGATGATGACACTGCTGAAAAGCTACATTGGTTGCGTCGCTCTTGTCAGTGCAATCGACCTCGTCGCTCTGCAAGAGTACTACTTTCCTCCAGTCGCACCGCCAGAGCCGCCTGCAAAGGCCCCCTTGGGCGGGACGTGCACTTTGCCAGAGGACTGCAAGAGCAATAGGTGCAACGAGGGCCATTGCGTGGCCAGTCATGGCACTGCTGTCCTCGGACAACACTGCAACGCCGATGCGCAGTGCAGCCACTCACACTCTTTGCTCTTTTGCAGCAAGCGCTCCTTCAAATGCCTCTCAAAGCGTCTGCCGGGCAGCACGTGCCTTCGCGACCCTGTGTGCTTCTCAGGCAAGTGCGATGCGAATGCAAGGTGCGCGCCCGGTCCTAGCAAAGGCGATCCTGGATGCTACTGCAGCGACGATTTGCACTGCAAGACCGGATACTGCTCCAAGCCCGCTTCGGGTCACTTTGGCATCTGCAAAGGCAAGAAGCCGTTTGGTGCTGCGTGCACCCGAGACGCTGCGTGCAGGCGCGGCCAGTGCGTCACGCAGCGCTGCGTCCCAAAGGCATTCCTGGGCAAGTCTGGCGATTACTGCAACAATTCCAATCAGTGTCGCACCTGTCGATGCACGCGACAGCACAAGTGCAGCTCCAAGCCTCGGCCTCGTGATCTCGTCGCATGATGTAATTCAGAGTTGATCGGCTGTTCGAGGCGGGAATGTCATCTGTAAGCTTTATGCTGACCCCCCTTGCGTTGGCGGTGCCATCTTCTCGATGCAGCGTACGAGTTTGCTGTGCGCACGCGAAGCCGTGCCAGCGCAGTTCCATGGCGGTAAAACGGTCGATGTCGCCAGCATCACTGTGCAGGTCGGCGTGGAGCTTTGGCGCGCTTTGTCGCCTCGCCACCGCCCAACTTTGAGGGTGTCATCTTGCAGCACGCGTCGCTTGCACGATGGGCGCAACTTCTTCGGTCATGTTGCGCCACCGTGCGGCCCCACAATCGAGCACAGACGTTGTGCCGGTTGCGTCGGGGAAGCGGTTATTGAATGCTTGTTGGTGACGTTGATCAGCCGCTTGCCTAACGACTTGATGCACGAGTCTGCCATTCTTAACAGAGCGGTGCTTGACCTCTGCTTGACCTCTCGTCGCGCTCCCCGCCACTTGTTGACTCATGGACAATGGACAAGACGACATTGCGCTTGTGACGTGCGGCCCCGACATTGCGTGCTCAACCTGGGTCGCATTCGGCTACAGTCTCGCCGGCACAGACTCGATCATCGCCACTTGCTCTGGTTTCGGCATGCGAGGGTGCAAGTGTAGGGGTATTGGTGATGTTTTGTTTTGCCTTCATGGATCCTATAAGTATTCCATCCGTATCGCGAACGACTTGCGCCAGGTACATCCCCCCAATCCTCTACCCAGCGGTGCAGCATCGCGTGCAAAAAGCGAGCTGACCAAGCGCACCCTAACATGCGGATCACTGCTGTCATCTGTCCCCTCGCCGCAGGTCTCCTTTTCGCAACCAAGGTGGCGGCCACATGGCTCGCTGGACGAGCATCAGCCGGCGAGTCGTCCCTGACGATGGACGTAGGCCAGCATTTGGATGCTGTGGCGACCTCCCTGGTTCAACATCAGCGGACCACAAATTCGATCGCATCCGCTTCGTCTCCGCTACACAACGATCTCGCGGGAGGCTATAGCCTCTCCGCGGGAGATCATACTCATCAAGCACACGCAAAAAGCATTGTTGGCACTTCACAACCCCTCCGATCGGCTGCTTCGCGCTTTGCGTGGCCACACAAGGACTTTGACGAAGGTCATACACTGCTGTGGCCCCAAACGCCGCCGCCGCCGCCAAGATCCGCCTTGACACTGCAGACACATTCGTGGCAGTCGACTCGCACCGCTTTCGAGCACAAGGCTGGTGCTAGCTCTCGTCCAAGCCAGTCTGACCGATGGAGCTCCCTGGATGCGACGCGCGTCGAAGCAGAGTCTACGGGCGACACTCAGAGCCGAGGCAAGCCTCGCGCGGATCAGACAGGTTCCCGACCCTCGCACATCACGGATTCGCAGCTGCCAAAGGACTACTTGCATTTGGAGGGGTCGCTTGTGCCAAATCGACGCGGTGCTGCTCGTCCGCAACGCTCACCGCATTATGCACCACTCCACGATCATGCACTGAGTCCTTTAATCACACATCATATCGCTTCGACTGCATCGATCAGCTCCCCTCTATCGCAGGTCTGGTCGCACAGTGCAGACCTCGACACTCTGCATCACTGGTCACCGTCGCCAAAATCACCTGGCATGTCCGTTGGACAGGCAAACGAGTTTGTCGATTCTCTGCTCCGCTTGCCCAGTCGCCAGACACTTGCCATCACGCCTCATAGCAATTTGAACTTGCCGAATGGGTCGAGTGCAGACGGAGCGGCGCGGAATTCGGTTGCATCACGACGAGCGCGTAAGCGTGTTGCAGAATCGCCCTCGATCTATCGCTCAGCACGACCAGGCCAAAACATGTGCAGTTTTCTTTCGGAGAAGAAGAGGCTTGTGAAAGCTGGTCAAGACACGTCGGCCATCGACCTTTGCATCGCCGCCTTGGCTCAAGAGAAGAAAATGCCGGTGCCCAGGAACCACTACGAGTATTACGTCGCCATTCCAAAATCGATGAAGACCTCGCTTGATCCAGTGCAGGAGCCTAGTGTAAGCGAAGTAAGCAATAACATCGCATCGGCGGGAGCTCAGAAGATCAGCAACACCGCAATGTCGCACCGCGCACCTCGCCAAATGCCAGGCATGCGGCGTTTGTACGCGCAGCGAGATTGCGAGAGGCGCCTTGACGCGCTCCACGGATACACGCAAGGCAGCGGCAGGAGTCAAGAGACCAAGGCGGTACAGGCGGCCATCGACGCGAAAGCGGTTGCTGCAGGGTTGAGCAAGGCCCCAGAGACGTACGGCGACTGGTTGGCGCGTCCCAGAATCGTGGGAGATTCGAGCACGCACATGCAGTACGGCATGGCGCAACTGTTCGAGGAGAAGGAGGACGCGCTTGCCAAGGGGGAGGACACGGCAGATGTAGAGTCGCGCATCGCAAGCCTTGCCGCACAGAACGGGGTGCGAGTCCCAAATTCCAGCCGTCACTTTTATATCATGATGTTCAGAAAGCGACAACGCGAGCGCGAGATCGCAGCTAGACTGGGTCAGCCCTCAACAAAGAGAGCACGCAGACCGGAGGTGTCTGCGCTACCGCATGCGTCATCAGAATGGGCAAGCACATCACTTTCGGACTACGGTGTAGCACAGCTTTTCCGCTTCCGCGATCACGCTCGGACAGCTGGCGAAACCGAGCACGCAGAGCGCATACAAGCTGCCATCGATGCGCGTGCCAAGGCGGAAGGAGTGATCCTCACAGACACTTGGAAAACTTATCGAAAAGACTTGCATTTGCTGCATAGAGAAGGCGCGTACGAGAAGACGTACAGGGACCAGATGTAGAGCGCTTCTGCGCGTCAAGTCTTTGCAGGCTCGAGGCGCTTCTGCGTGTGTAGCTCCGCGAATCGCGAGAGTAATAAAAATGTCAACTGCCAAGAGTCTTCATGTTCGTCGTTGCAAGCTTGCAGCCGCTCGTCGAGTCCGCATTGAGCCTAAACGGAGCAGAAGTAGCTTGCGCAGGCGTTCGTATTGAGGGCTTTGTTGTGCATGAGAGAGCATTGATTTGCGGATCGGTAAGTGGCAACGCGCGCTCATTTTCGATGTGGGATCAGGAACGGCAACAATGAGATAAGCGGCGACTGATCTTGTATAGCTGGCGAGTTGCGGAAAGAGACTAGCAGGTATAAACTTGCGCAGAAGATGCACAAGAGTGTCCAGGCGTCCTCTAGCCTGCTCAGCCGCTTCGAGCCTTCAGACGTCCGTGTACAGATTACCGATGGGTCGAGTCCCGCTCACCAGGCTCGCCCACTGTGCCACACCATGCCACTCTTTGTGGGCTTCTAATTTCATTCCATGAAGGTCTAGGGGGTGCACGGTCCCCTTCTCTGCATGAGGCACCTGAACGGTCAGAATAGCGCATGGCCCTCCTCTCTCTGCATGTATATGAATATAAGTCTCTCAGTTCCTTCAGTTGAGCTCCCACTCGCTACAAATTCGATCTCTTCTCATAACGCCGCCACCGTCGTCAACACCAGAACGCATGCGAGACTGCTGGCAGGCATGGATGAGCGCAGCAGAGCTAGTCGCACACAAAGCCCAGCACGCAGCAGCTGAAGCTCAGCAGGTTGCAGCCAAACCTCAGCAAGCAGCCATCTAATTACAGCAAGAAGCAGCTCAAGTCCAGCAAGGAGCAGTTGAAGCCCATCAAATAGCAGCTCAAGCTTGGCGAGCAGCAGCTTGAGCAAATCAACTCGCACCTCACGCCCTTTGAGCCGAATTTCAGCAGGGCGCAGCTTAAGCTCTGCACATGGCAGCTGGCTACCAGCAAATGGCAACTCGAGCGCGGCAACAAGCAGCTCATGTTCAGCACGCAGCGACCCAAGCTCAGCAAGCAGCAGCTCAAATGGAGCAGAATGCAGCTCAACATCAGCAAGCCACAGCCCAAAATCAGCAGATTGCAGCTCAAGTCAAGCAGATGAGAAGGGAGACAATGCAAGACTTGGAAGCTTTGTGTGAGTTGCGAGGGGAGTGAGCGCAGTGAAAGGAGGAAGGGCAGTGAGAGCAAGAGGAGCCAGAGCTTGTCTGACGCGATCGCTTATCCGACGCGATTGCTTACCTGACAGAACATTACTCTCCGCAGTCTTTGAGTCACAAAGCGCACCCAGGGTTAGGGTTGGAGCGCTCACCACCGGCAAGCGCAAGGCCAAAGGAGGAGTTTTAGACTCTTGAGGATAGGCAGACTTGTGCGCATGCTAGCGGCGCCGCCATTCCCAACTCGTTTTGCCCCTCGCACCACAGTTTGTACAACACTTGCGGCCGCCTCGAGTCCATCTGTGACTCTTTTGAATTGCATCGATGAGGAGTTCCTCTCAAGGTTCCTCACCAATGCAAAGTGCGTCTCGAAAGACAGCGCTTAGGATGACTACTTTTCTGCTTTCTAAAGATGTCGATGATTGATGCCATTTGGAATGTGCGTCTCAGAGAGGCGTGTCAAAGCGCGCCAAGGATGACTAATTTTCCAATGTCAAAGGATGTCAAAAATGGATGCAGTCTGTCAATGTCTACTTTTCAACGGCTCTGGCATGCGTTCAAAAAGACATAATTAACCGATGCAATTTGTCGACGGCTTTGTTCCCAGAGCTCAAGTGACTTTTTCAAAAGACGTGAATAATCGATGCGGTTTGTAAGTTGCAGCGTGGCTTGGCAGCTACTCAAGCTGAGCATGACGCTCGAGTCGATGCCCTTGCGCAGCGTCTTGCAGAAGCCACCACCTCAATTAGCAAACCCGGCAGCAAAGTGGCAGAGCTTGAGCAACAACTTGAGGCTGAATGGCAATCATTGCGCAAGCTTGAAGCCGCACTCTATTCTACTATTAAGAAGGAGGTACAAGTGCAAGGGATGTTGCCCCCACTGATTGTGGAGGAAGAGCGGTGGGGCAGATATCTGAAACTCTTGCCAAACTCTTTGGACTGTCACACCTACGCTGTAGCTTTCTGTAAGCATCGCGCAACGTGGACTACTTTGTCGAGCGTACCAGAACATGTCAAAGGTGGTCCTGAAGATCTGCAAGAATACTACCTTTTCCATATGAAGCAGCACGGCCGATTCAGTGGAGACCTCGCTGAAGACATCCTGCGCTGCGAGGCGGTGCAGAGGGCAGCAACCAAGGGATACATGGGGTTGAAGAGGGTCAAGAGGATTCCGCAGCCCAAGGGGCATAGGGCATTGCGGGTAGTCTTTGAGGGCGAGGACCAAGACTACCTCAATGAGCATCTCTTTGTGCGCCAGCATGGTAAGAAGCAATCTAGCGGAATGTGAGTGCGCTGCCCAAGTGCTGCTGCTCGAGTGCGGTGCTTGGGTGCCGTGCTCTCTTCGCTACCAATGCTCGCCGTCGCATGTACACAATTGCTCCATTCCACCGTCTCGACTCTCTTTCAAGTGCAGACACCCGTGAATCCATGACATCAAGTTGAGCGCCGCACGCATCAAAAGAGCCGTTGTACAGTCACGTTGCACGCATGCTCACATTACCATATAGGAGAGTTGCGTACAGCAGGCAAGCGCAAAGGTTTGAAAGCTGCACTGGCCAAATGATTGATGCAACCAACAAACTAAATGCGCAGGCAGAGCTTCAAGACAATGGTGACTGCAATTGCACCTCCCAGAGCAAGCCTTCATGGCAAGGGTGAGGCTCAACTTGCGGGGAGCTGGCATTGCGTGTTGAGCGGGGTGCAGGCGTGCCCTTACCTGCTGGCCATCATTCTTCAATGCACCAAATGACAATGTGGTCACAGTGAGTGGATGCACTCACACAGCCTATATATATGGGCCAATATTTTACAGGGTAAAAGCAATTTTGCCCCGCCAAAAAACGCGTCTGGATGTCTGCGGAGCTCATAGCACCGTTCTCACCGTGGCTTTGACGGGCACCAAGCGAGACTCGACTCAAGCCCAGCAACAAGATTTGGCGGTCAGCACCACCCTCACCATTGCTCTTGAGGCCGCCAAGCAAGACGCTGCAGAACTACAGTGACTGCGCAACAAGGAGTACAAAGCAGCGTTCATGGTGCAACTGCCTCTTTGGTCCATGCTGCCTTCTCCTGACCTTCAGCACATGCACTTTGTGCACCTGTTGGGCATCCTGGGCGATGAAAACATCACCTTGGCCAATGGCTACAAGGCTTGTCAAGATGCCTGGGCAACAGCAACAACAGTGCCTGAAGCTGTGATGCTCAACCACAGAACAGAGCTTCAAGGGACTTTCATTGAGCATGTCCTGCAGCACCAAACAGACTGGTCTTCTGAACCATTTGCCTCGCAGTTCACCCTCTGCAAATCCCTTCAGCAAGCAACAACAGCGGGTTACTAGGCAATGGAGAGCGCAGCAGCGGAGCCAAATGAGAGCGGCCTGTCTCTGGGTGTCCCATTGACCACTGAAGATCAGTCTTTTCTCAACAAATACCTTGTTCTGCGCCAATTGCGATAGCTGCATGCGCGCAGATGCCCTGATCCACATTGATACCCCCAACAACGCCATGCCTGTCAAGTTAAGTGACTCAGCTGAAGGTGTTGGTGCGGCAATGAGCGCAGAGCGCGCGTGTATTGGAATGTGAGCGCTGTGTGCAATGGTGCGTGGGGCAGCGATGGCCACGTGGATGCGATGGTTAGCGTGGATGCTTGCTTGCTAGCACCCATGGTGCAGGCACAAAAGACCATGGAACACGCACGGAAGACCGTCCAGCGCGGCCTGCACTCACAAATCCGTACAGCGAGTTCCCGCACCGGCCATTTGCGTTTGCTGGGCAACGCGCCGCCGTGGGCATGCGCGTCCGCCAACAGGGGCGCCGCTGGGCGACGCGCTCCCTGGTGTGTGGTGTGATTGACGGGTCGCTGGAAGCGTTCATGCAATCCGACCCATGCCACACATTTTGTGTGGACCGCCAGCAACGTGGTCAGATGGCTACCCAGCCACCGTGCTTTGCTTGCGCTTGCAGTAGCACGACGCTTCCACAAGCCCATAAATCTCTCACCTGCAAACGCAACGCAAAACATTACAAGAGGCGCGCCATGTCCGTTCTTGGAAGCTCTTGTCTGCCCTCATCTCTGCGGGAGCGCTGCAAAGTTCATGACCACAGCGCTTTGCGCTTGCCTGACGCATGCCCCAGCTAACCCTATACATATGCCCCAAGACTTTTACGGCGCAAAAGCGGATGCGCAGCCAAATCCCCTGCCAAAAAACGCATCCGGAGGTCCGCAGATCCACGGACTTTCACTTTTACGCCGTAAAAGTACGCAGACAAATGCGTGCCATACGCGCCATACAGACGCGCCCCTGCCATACAGATGTATGCGCCATACAAACGCGTGCCTGCCATACAGATGCGCGCGCCATACAGATGCGTGCGCCATACAGACGCACACCACACAGAGGCATCTGCCATACCCAGGCATGCGTGCCACCCCTACGGCCGTTCCCCATGCGTACCGTACCCACCTATAGTAGCTTCCTGCGCATACAGTACGCCCCTACGGTAGCTCAAATACCCATTGTACTATCCTACAGTAGCTCAAATCAACCGCTGCGCTACACCAATGCTCTGAAGTCACCATACACTCCTACAGTAGCTCAAATCAACTGCAGTACTACATCAACGCTCTGTAGTCACTATAGTCACCTACGGTACCTCCTTACGCATACCGTACACCCCTACAGTAGCTCAAACAATCCACCATACATCAACAAAGCTCTGTGATCACTGTGCCCATCTACGGTCGCTTTCTACGCGTACCGTACACCCCTACGGTAACTCAAACCATCTGCCGTACATCAGAGCTCTGTCATCACTGGACGCACCTACGGTATGAATGGCTGTTGTAACCACCTACGGTAGCTCAAACAATCCACCGTACATGATCAAAGCTCTGTGATCACTGTACCCATCTACGGTTGCTCTCTACGCGTACCGTACACCCCTACGGTAACTCAAACCATCTGCTGTACATCAGAGCTCCGTGACTTGCGCAACTGCCAGACTTTGTTGGCCAATTCAAGGAGCACAAGCTAGCAAAAAAGTCGCAGATCAGAGAGCTGTGTGCAGGCAAAACTACAAAACTAGGTAGCAGTAGTTATCTCCCAAGCTCACTTGTGTATTCTAGAGCGAGCTGCCCTATGCCTGTCAGCCTTAGACAGAACTGGGGCGTGGCTGTTGGGATGTGTCGCAACACTGTAGCTCTTCAAGTTGCTGCGGCATAGCCTTGCAGTTAGGGGCCTCCACAAACCAGGATAGTCCCCCTCACAGGTCTAGCAATAGGCCGTCAAGCCTTTGAGTGAAGCTCAAAGGTAGATGCATTGCAAATTGGGCTTTGAACCTCAATTTTGTATTGTGTTCAGCAACTCTGGTACGCCCATTGAGAGCTGACTCAATCCAAAAGGAAAGCTTCAAGGTTTGGTTTGCTCTGCGCACGCTTGTATGATGTAATGCACTCATTGTATTGAGTGTCCAGCTTGCAGCACGCCTCAAGTCAATTGAACAGTGCTGTAATGCTGCATTATGGGGCGCAATCTGAAATCAGATGCATATGTTGACGTGATGGAGATGGTGGTCTGCCTAACCTGTTGCGTCAATGAGGATTGCGGTGATGAATGATGTCTTCTGCAGGTGAGATTGCTTGATTGGCCCTTTAGTTGGTTTGCAATCATTTGATCAATTGCGTTCATTCAGTTGGCTTCAATCAATCAATCAATCGATCATCATTCATTCAGTTGGCTACAATCAATCGATCAATCGATCATCATTCATTCAGTTGGCTTCAATCGATCGATCAATCAATCGATTGCGTTCATTCAGTTGGCTTCATCATCGATCAATCAATCGTCATTCATTCAGTTGGCTTCAACATCGATCAATCGATCGTCATTCATTCAGTTGGCTTCAATCGATCAATTGATCGTTATTCATTCAGTTGGCTTCATCATCGATCAATCGATCGTCATTCATTCAGTTGGCTTCAATCAATCAATCAATTGTCATTCATTCAGTTGGCTTCAATCGATCAATCGATCGCGTTCATAAGTACAATGGGTAAAGGCTGCATTCAAGGGTTAATAGAGCTAGTAAGTACAGTGTCTGAAGGCTGCATTCAAGGGTTAATAGAGCTAATAAGTACAATGGGTAAGAGCTGGGTTAGATTCAGGTAATAGCATGGTGGGTGTAGCAAATACTATTACTTAGAGAGCACTTGCAAGCTTATAGGGGGCGCTTTGTAAGCAAGCAGCACTGTATGAACGCAGATGCAGTGTAGACCGTGATGACAAGACATTGCGCATCATGGGGCTTGTGACAATGGGATGCCGTACGTTACAAGTCTGTGCTCAAGAGCAGGCTAAAGCACCGGTGTGTCATGCACTGAGTCTGCTCATCTAGGGGGTTTACATGGCCCGACTGGTGTGCACCAGTTGGGCTGGGTAAGCTCTCTCAATTGAGGTGCAAGAGGGGTGAGGACGGAGACTACTATAGACTTGACAATGTACAGCATTTCAAACCATTGGCTGTACCCATCTATGGTACCTTGATACACATACCGTACTGCCCTGCAGTAGCTCAAATCACCTACCGTACTATGTCACTGCCCTGTGGTCACCATACCCACCTACGGTAGCTCAAATCAGCTGCTGTACCACATCAACACTCTGTGTTCACTGTACCCACTTACGGTAGCTCCCTATGCGTACCGTACACCCCTACGGTAGCTCAAATACCTGTCCCACTACCCTACAGTAGCTCAAATCACCTGCCGTACTACAGTGACCTACAGCAACTCAAACCACCCACTGTACCCACCTACGCCTACGGTAGCCCCCTCTGCATACCCTACACCCCTGCGGTAGCTCAAATTGACTGCCGTAGTACATCAATGCTCTGTAGTCACCGTACTCACCAACAGTACCTCCCTTACGCATACCGTACACCCCTACGGTAGCTCAAACACCTGTTGTACTACATCAAAGCTCTGTGTTCACTGTACTCATCTACGGTAGCCCCCTATGCCTACCGTACACCCCTACGGTCAATCAAAACAACCGCCGTACTACATCACTGCTCCGTGGTCACTGTACCCATCTATGGTAGCTTAAATTGCTGTCGTACCCACCTACGGTAGCTGAAACACCCGTTGTACTACATCAAAGCGCTGTGTTCACTGTACACACCTACGGTAGCTTGAATGGCTGTCGTAGCCACCTACGATAGCTCAAACATCCATCGTATCACATCACAGCTCTGTGTTCACTGTACCCATCTACGGTAGCTGCCTATGCATACCGTACACCCCTACGGTAAATCAATCAACCGCCGTACTACGTCACTGCTCCATGGTCACCGCATCTGCCTATGATAGCTCAAAGCAACTGCCTAGACTGCTCTGTGGTCACTGTACCCATCTACGGTAGCTCAAATGGCTGTTGTACACCGCTACGGTAGATCAAATCAACCGCCGTACCATATCAACCACTTACAGTAACTCCCTATGCGTACCGTACACCCCTACGGTAGCTCAAATCAACCGTCGTACTACAGTAACCTACGGTAACTTGAACCTTTCACTGTAGCCACCTACGGTAACTCGAACCACCTGCCATACTACATCAAAGCTTTGGTCACTGCAATCAATGACGTAATACTGTACGTACATGCACCCAATGTGATGTCATAGTCTAGTGCTTGCTGACTTACTCGCCAGCTACCTCTCTCTGACTTAGCTCTGCGCCTCTCCGTGCGTGCTGCTGGTGCTACTAGGACTGCTTGCGCAACTGTCAAACCTTGGTGGCCAAATCAAGGAGCACCAGCTAGCAAAAAACATCGCAGATCAGAGAGCTGTGTGCAGGCAAAACTACAAAAGTAGGTAGCTGCCACTGGCCCAGAGTTGTCTGATGACCCAAAGTGAGCTGCCTTATGCCTGTCAGCCCTAAGAGCAGCGCTGGTGAGTGGCTGTAGGGATGCGTGGCATCAAGTGGCTTGTTTACAGGTTACTGCTGCTGCATATTCTTGCGGTTCAAGGCCTTCACAAGCCGCGTTGCAGAAGGTCTAAGGAGGTAGACCATTCATTCATGCTACAAAGCAGGCATATAGCTGCTGGTGGTTATGTCTTTATCTTCAGCACCTCCGGTTTGCCCGTCGAGAGCTGGGTATGATGTAATCACAAGTGGTTAGGTGCTCTGTGATGTCATGGGTGTCCACCATGCATTCAAAGCTGGTGGTGGTTATGTGCGTATCTTCAGCCCCTCTGGTTTGCCGGTGAGAGCTGGGTATCTCGTGATCACCTGAGGTCTAGAATGTTTGGTTTGCGCTGGGGATATGTTGTATCTGCTGA